GTCAGAAAAAATTAAGTTATCTATTCGAATTATTATAAAACATGTTCTTCGTTAATCTTAAGTATTTCTAAAAAATATTCTACATATTTTGCAAAAATAATTTTTAATAATGGTTAGCTTCATAAGTTAATTATTAAATTAACTATTAAAGTACAGTATTCCTCAATTTGTAAACATTAAGAAAAGTATAACAAATGTAGTTAATCTGCAGTAACAAATACATTTTACAAATGATATTGTATATTCAATTTTTCTACGATAACATTTAACAACAAAATCTACTAGCAATATAAAATAACTAAATACGTAAAATATATGAAAAAATAAAATAGTCGTTACGAAAAAGTAAATGGTGGCGCCATCAAGCTAATTTCAGTGTCATTACATAACAACGTTTAAAATCATTTTAGTGCCATCTGTCCGTAGAAATGAAGTACTGCTATTTGGCTAATAATTTGGGTGTTTTATTATAGATGGCGAGTAAAAAAATAAAATTGTGGCGGTATTTTCTGCACTGAATTTCAAATAGATAACGAACCGATCTGATTCTTCTTGATAATGATTTATGTAAACAAGCACTGGATTAGAAATTGATAGACAATAGAAGATATGTCCATTTAATCTGATTATAAGTGAAGTTTGTAATTAGCAGACACAAGATTCACATAATAGTAAAATTTCAGCATAAAACATGAAATAATAAAATATTGACAGTACATTAATACGAGTACGAAAAATTATAAATTTTTAAATTCATAATATTTACAACTGTTATTACACGCACTGAAAAAAAACTGTTATTACACGCACTGAAAAAATAGGCAGTAACAAACAATTTATTAACAAGTGAGTAAAATATGTAAGTATTGTGTCAGATAATCTACATTTTATTACAAGAAATTAAACAATATTTTAATCTCTACTAGTAAGTAATCCATTAACGAAGTATAACAAATATACAAATATACTTCAGGACAAAATATTTATTGCAGTATGTATAAATTAATAATACACATCAAAGCAAAAAGAAAAATTCCTTTAAATAAATATAAATATAATTTAACTAATTTCTCCACACAAAATCCAAAAATTCTTCACATTTAAAAATACTCCAAGATGTTATTATAGTCAAAATAGCAGCATAACTAAATATACTAAAACTTCTTTTTTAATTTCATTTAAAGTATTATTATATTTACATATACCCTAACAGTTCTAACAAACATTTATATTTAATATACTCGTAAAAAACGTCTAAAATAAACAGCAAATGTTTAAAACAAAGAAATCGTTAAAAAAATAAGACTAACGCCATTCAGGACCTAAAAAATTAAACAATCCTAATGAAATAACGAACAAACAAATAAATTGTAAGTGTCTGCAATCACGAGTCTCGGTGTTCGACCATTTGATAATTTGATCCAAACTACTCCGTGGTCTAATGGTCATCGTGGGTTACCATGACGATCATTGTTTTCCCCCTGACAACTAACATGGCGGAGGTTGAGGGTAAGTTTGTACACGGAAAATCGTTCGTGCCAGTATTTACGTGACCGCGGCCGTTCGCCTGCCATAAATAACGCATCGAGAGATCGTAACGATCGTCCGGAGGGCTTTTTCTCTGCGCTGCACTTCCGTCCGGTTCCAGTTTCGCGGCCGAGACCGTCTTCTAAAAATATAATACCCGAGAACCACGCACGCGGCCACGAGCGCGTTCGGACGCACGAGCGGAACAGAGAGGAGCTAGCGATGGGTCCGAGCTACCTATCCGATCTTATCTGTCGTTGATCAGCATTCCTCGAAAGAGAGACCGGCGAGGAGGTAAGGGTAGAGATTTCACGGAGTGCACAAAATCGCGATGTTTTTCAATCGGTGAATCGATTATTGACGTGACAACCCGCCGCAAGTATATACGGTCGAATCATAACGAGTTTGTTTCCATGAAAAACAATTTATTATTTCCATGGTACTGGTAACAGTGGATGAATGATGGTACCTGCAGACAGCACAGGCGCTATTTACTTTATGTTCAGATTACGAATCGTTGAATTTATCTTAATACTATGACGGCATACTGATGAGCGTGGTATAAAGTTTCGTTTGATATTAAAAATTGATTTTTAAAATAAACTTGAATAGATCTTTTGGGATCTAAGAAAAGTTCTTGACTCTTTTATTTGAAACATCCGTGAATTAATTCAGAGATATTATGGAACTAAATTTTGAATTTGATAAATAAATAAGTTAAAAATATTTACTATATTATATAAGAAATGAGAAGTAGAAATGATGTTAAATTTTTATGATAGCAGTTATATTTATAGTTGGCTAAGAAATTTTATAATACCATACCACTACTAGTAATTCGCAACCTTTAATGCCACTTTTATAAATTTAATTAATACATGTGTTTGTTCCCGCCAAATCATATTAGGTCCACTTTATAAAAATTTTTATATTGTTAATTATATTAAATTTATTGAGTAATTTTGTGTAGGTCCATCGCTTTGTCGATAGTGATGTGAAAACATATCGCGTGATTGATTTATCCTATATACCTCGCCTGTGCTTATTACTATTACTATTCAATTTTAAATAATTAATCGAGTAGAACTGAATGTACACAAATATTGAATTATTTAATACTAGAATCTTCGGAAATTGAATTTCATTTAAAAGCATTCTTAATTTTCATATTCAGTATTTTTTATTTCTCGTATTATACCATTTTTCCAATTTAATTTTATTGCCAATAAAATATTGTGAACAAATATTTAATGCACAAAATTAAAATATTCTATTTTTTGCTTTAGATGTTTGAAATAATAACATTTACGGAAACTTCGTCACTTATTTAAAATATTATTTCATTTGAACGGTACAGCATTTCATATTTTAAATTATATTTAAAGTATTTTATCCAGTTCTGGTTCTTTCAACTATCGATCGATTTATTACGTTTAATCGTGATCCACGTTTCATGGCTAAGGAGGGCGTGTATTTACCGGAAGCGGAACTCGTAAAAGAAACAGGGACATGAGCTTGAATGGAATCGATATTTCGCTGCAACTGGACACTTCCTTGCACTTATGAGACTTGTCAAAGCTTCTGTGATTATGAATAAATGAAAAAATAGTACAATCACCTAAAGGAATTAATAACGCCCTTAAACTAAGTTGAATTTACGATAGATTGTTATAAATTACTAAGAAAAACCATTTGCATCAAGTCTTCGTCTTCTACAGTCTTCTATTACTATGTGGGTTAAAATAAAGGGATTATATTTGTTCTCTTAATGTCATATCGATTTAGAATCCAATTTGGTTTAGTCTTTAGTACCCTAAAGTATCACAGACCTCAATACATATTTTTCGGGAGCCATTTCATTCTAACAGTTGCTGAAAGTAGGTATATAGTTCACGAGTTTCCTGTGTATTTTATTATTAATTTCAATGATTAAAAACAGAAACAGAAAGAATCAAGTAAAACGATTTTTTACAGAAAAATTAAAAACCTTTAAGAAATTCAGATCGAAATTTGGAAGCTATATAAGTGATTGCGAATTCAAAAAGTTCTTACTTACATAGTTATCATTCGTTCAATACAAAGTTCCATTCATTCATTCATTTAAGTATTCAGCGTCCACTCGGCGCCATTGCTACGCGCTGGAAGGAGCTATCTCTCTTGATGCTCTCGCGGTGACACCTAAAATAAGTCTCTTTTATAAGAGGCGAAAGAGGCTGCGTGAACGTTGCGTACAAGAGCAGGTTCGTGATTATGGTGCAGCTCAGTCAGTGTCTTTCCATGCTGTTTGTTCGATGTTGTGCTGCGTTTCGAGGAGAACCGTCGCAGGGGCGGACCAAAGGCCCCCCTACGATCACTACATATCAAAAGTGCAACCTGTCGAATCGGGGAAAGTAACGGAGGTCGAGAAATATTCCAAATCAGGTGAGATCTTCACCCTCCAACGAGGAATTGGAGACTCGTTCGAATTTTCTTCCTTTTTCTTGAATACTCTTACTTCGTTTCAACGTTGACTGTTCTTAATTCTTCTTTATTAATAGGTCATTGATGTCTAATTAAGGGTTTGTTTGATGTTGATTGATAATTTTGCTAGTTGAAATGTTTCCTGTAAGAATTGTGCTTCTTTTATACTATTGTTCTGGGATTATAGTGGTTTTTACAGCAATGATTGTTTGAAAATATAAGTTTTTGTAATTAGATGGAATGTTCGAAAATTTTTGAGGATGTTTGTACATTTCCGAAGAATATAAGTGTCGTGATACAATTTTGTTTTAGTAGATTGCCTGAAAAGGTTATTAGTATTAGTTATAGTATTTTCGAGAACAGATGTCTAAGCTTTATATTGTTATGTAGGTTGTACTTTTAATTAAAAGTTTGAGTGGACGTAACAACAAAGTTCTCCGATTAGAACAATAAGCTTTATTTTTATTTCACTTTTATTTTATCCGCAGATAATTATTCGCATTAAATTAAATTGAGTTTCATTTACAATACATCAATCTATACTATTTATATATGAAAGTAAATGGAAAGATTATGTTAATTATCATGTAATAAGACATCTTTAATCAGTAGATATTGTGAAATGTTGGTTAATATCATTTTAGCGATTTAATTACAGTTTCACTGTTTTTGGTCTACCGATCTTATAAATAGTAAAATAATAGAATTTTTGTGAATATGTTAGTTCTGACATTGGAGAAGTTTTATGTCTATTTCTTCATTTGGTAGTGAAAAAGAATCACAGCGTTATTTTTCATCTTGCAGCCTTCGTTGTGCACGCTCATTTGCTTCATTCTTTCATAGCAATTGCGTTACTGGCTATACAGATTTCTCGACCTTAGATCTTACAAAACATTAATAGCTCGACGAAAGGAAAAACTTGTTTTCCATCGACACGCTTTTCCGTTGCATTTTGATTAAGAAGGGATACTATTGCAGTTATTGGGCAAGGAGTTGTGGCTCTTTAATGTTTTTAATTTCAATGGCAAGATATTTGAAAGTTATAATTTTTATAACTTTTATACATTTCATAATATTCATAAGAAATGCAGATTCTGAAGAACTCTAAATTAATTGTAACAAAACTAATCGAAGCAATAAAGTTTAGATAACAGATAATGTTCATATGGTGAAGTCATTATTTAGGGAAACAAAAGGTGTTATTCTTTGTATTTCATGATTTAAAACATTATATTATTTATTACGATTAGATGAACGGAATAGTGAATCTACGTTTAATAAAAACAAACTTATTTAAAGAATAAAAATAAGAATTTTTCATTGATTAACAAAATTTAACAATAATTTTTTTGCACCATATTTATTGTATGCTTTACTTTTATTTAATATTAAAAATAAAAGAATTGGTTTTAATTACATACAACAAAGTACATAGCATATGAAGTAAATTTATAATTATGTGTATCAATAAATATTAGGTGACTACAAATTGACATCCACAGATTTTTTAATAAACCATGTGTTATTCAGATTCTATATATCTATATTATTTGCAAATTTATAAAATACAAATAAACATTATATCATTTACTCTTTATTTTTTGCTACAATAATCTTATACATCATAGCATAAGTGCCACCTTTATTCTAATTTTTGTAAAGTAATCCACGAAAATATTTCATGAACAGTAATGCAAAAACACAAAGTTTTACAATACATTTTATTAATATTATAATAGTTGTAGATTTACATAAATTCTTACTCGTCTGCAGGAACAATAACATATTATACATATATAAATTATTGTAGCACATACATATATAATATTTTTACTTCCTGCTTACTTGCACGCCTCATAAATCATATATCTCTTAATCATTTACTTTACGATGTCTCTACGAACAACAACCACTTTGTCGTTAATAATTCGCTAAAGAAGTAACTAATTTTTCTCTAAAACTGAAGTATTCACAATAAAAACATCTCCTATTTCAACAAGAAAACAAAACAACTGCTACTTATAAACTTATTTTAACCCCTTGATTTCCTTTACAATTGTGCTTAATAAAAGCACTTTATTGCATTTATTGGAAAAAGAGAAGACTTTAACGTTTATTTTATATCTACGTTTACTGTAAATCTTAACGATTGCTAATAAAAAAAGTAACATTCAATTCATGCTCGAAAAGATTAAATACCATTTAGATTTGACGAATTCAGTTTAAAATCCACATCACAAATCCGACACGATGTCACAGCACAAGGAGTTCAAATCCTGTTCACGTGTCTCAATGTTACAAAACAAGGGGTTCATCCTTCGGCCTATAATATGGCGTCAGACTATCGAAGATTTCTAACATAGTCTAACAAATATAAATGTCATTCAATTTCTTTGGGTTCAAACGAAACATTGTCTTTCTTGTTATTATAGTTAGTATGTTTCAGAATAAAATTGGACATAGAAATGGCATGCAATTTTTGGACTTTTCTAATAAATCATTAACGACGAGTAGTTTTAACAAGTATAACTGCGAAACTAAATCGTAGGGCAGGGGGTTAGAACGAAAGGAAACAGTGAAAAAAGAGAATTCTGTCCATCAGAGCGGTTGGATTCGTAATCCAGCCGTGAAGGTGACACATAGAAAAGGCGTTACACGGCCTGGCGGGCATACCATCCGCGGAAAACCGAGGACGGAAGGAATCGGCGTCCACGGGAGCACGCGCGGCGGATCTCTTCCACGCGTGGAACAGTTACAATGCTCGAACGGTAACTCATAATGCCTAAAATGGAAGCTTGCTCCTCCGTGGGCGAGCTGCTCTCGCGGGGGCGACACCTCGTCTTCGTCCTCCTCGCCGTGGATGTCGTTTTAGTTGGAGAACCACGCAGGTGTCCGCGATCGGCTAGCCTCGCGACAAACCTGATTAATTATCGTCCCGTTGATAAACGCACTGCCGCGACACGGGACTCTGTCGTACACGTTAATCGTTGATCTCCGGCAGGCTCAGCGCAATCCTCTTACTGGTATCGTTGATTCTAACCCTGGAATTCCTTCGTGATCGGTCCCTTTTAATTTCATTTCGTCGCGTAAATATTCGATGAATTTGTTGAAGTTAACGTTCTATGATTGTTCGTCATACGAATTACACGTGCAAGTGCAGTCTATGTTCAGTTCGAACGCAAATGTTTAATGTAAAGTGACTTCAATGATGTCGATAGAAGCTGCTAAGAATGGAGACCTGATTGATCAGTGAATCACAATACGTAACTTGAAACGCAGGTTCTGAGAGGGTGTCTAACAGTAAAACCTTTGTATTCATTGTTTCGGAAGTTTGCCTCCTATTTGGAAGCTTAACGTTTCACTGGGAAAGATGTCGATAAGTCTCTTACCGCTAGCAAGTGCAGTGTTTAATAACTGTTTCTAATTTAGCCGTCGGTATGTACCCACGAGGCGAGTCTCTCGACGTGTTAAATGGCGCTTGAGTTTACTTTGTACCAAACTTCGCGCAGACTGAGTCAGATCAAACTATTCGATCGTCGATGTTCGTGTCCTTCGTATAGGATGGACGGGTTCTCTTCCGTTGAAGGGACATCGGGGAGACCTTTAGGGTAGATGTTGATATCGGTTCACTGATTCCGTTCAGCGTTTATCGAAATTCTTCTGACTCACTCTGCTCGATCCACGGACGCATCTCCTGAAACAGGAGGGGAGCATCGGCGTCAACAACAGACTAATTCTCGGTAAATGGACACAGATGTGCCGCCCATCCTTCTGCCGTGCGCGATCTGCGCACGGACTTTTATGCCGCAGTCGCTGGAGAAGCACAAGAGGATATGCGAGCAGACTGCGAATAAGAAGAGGAAGCCGTTCGACTCGGCGAAACAAAGGATACAGGGCACCGAGCTGGCGGAGTTCTTACCCAGGCAGGAGAAAAGGCGGTCCGCACAGGACAACAGGACCGACGGATTCAAATCCACTTGGAAGCAAACGCATGATGACTTCCTGCGACAGATTAGAGCCGCTCGCAACGAAATTGTAAGTCTGTAACATTTTTGATAGTGATAAGTGTTGAAAGTTTTTACTGTATCGGTAATACTGATATAGTATCCATGAGTTCTCAAACCCCTGATGATTCCAGCTGCGATGCTAATCATTCCTAATGGACACGGCTTACATCTGGAAACTTTGAACACTTACCATAATATTCCTGGCTGTGAAAGCTTCAAACGTTTTCGATAATGTAGGTTGAATTGATAGCCGTGACACTTTGACTGCTGTGTCACCTGAAATTGGGTGAGGTGATCTTTTAAATAAATTTAAGAATTATTCATTTCGTCGACGTATCGAGCAAAGGGAATTTTTTGTTAAATCTACAAGGTGTAAGAAGATTGGAAGAGCAATCCTTGCGGAAACATTGAGTCTTCAGTATCTGTTTCTTAGTTTTAACTGTATAGGTTTTTGATGACTGCCAATTTGGCAATAATGTTACAGCGTTATACTGTTGTCGTCTAACTTGTAGCAGTCGAAAGGTATGGCTAAATAATTATGCTAGAAGTGTTATTAAACCCAAATAACCCTTGAAAAGTGGACTTTCTCGAGGACTTTATAGGTAGCTTTGCTTGGGACAATTCGAATTCTTATTTTCAACGAAATACATTGATTTTTTTGCCAAATCTAAATAAACTAACTGATATATTAAGTCAGCTGTAAGAAGATAAGAAGTTAAATGAAGTTTCTGAAAATAATAATTTTCTATTTAATCATTAGTATAAAATCTGAAAAAATTTTGATAAGTAGCAATTCACAAAACATAAATTAATAAGCTTTACCAATCCTTTAATAGACAATTGATTTTATGAAAATTAGTGGTAACATAGTATCTAAAGGTTGTAGGCACAAGTTGCGGTAAACTAATGATCCGTTACAAGCTCCGAATCATCTCTCATTAAATTGTATTGTAAGATCCTAATATCCATACTTTTACTGTAATCAGTAAAGAACCTCCATTTATTTCATTTTACGTATTAGAAATGGATACTTAAAAATTTCAGTTTGTACATCTGCTGTCATTCATGAACTGTGTTAACTACTATTTTATCTGCCATTCATGTAAGTGGGAAGTGTAAAAATCGTTTACTTTGCACGAAGTAGTATGCAATTAAGATAATTGGTAAATATAAACCGTGAGAATCAAATTGAAACAGAAAGCAGGTGGAGAGCAACGCGTGGTGAGAATTGCAGGTAGAACGCAGATTAACCCAGATGCATCGCGAATGAGGCAAGTGCGTTCGCGCGTGAGATGAATGTTCTTATACCACGCACTATAATATTATGTTCGCAACCACCATTTTTATGGTACATGTATAACCAAATGCATGCGAATGCGATGAGCTTTTCTCAGACAATAAACGCGTGTTCTTGGATAGGTGCACTGCAATTTAAAAATATTTTGACTGAAATGAAAAAGCCATTTTTGCTATAAATAAACAATACCTGTATAGTATACGGTTCTCATATAAAAACAATTAAACGGCAAACACAGATTGTGTATATCTTCGATTGAGAAAGTAATATTTTTCCGCAAGATACGAGGCGCCATTGATGATCCTCGGTGCTAACATTCATTAGCCGCTCCTTTCAGCGCAACGCAATCACCTCATGCATACAATCATAATAGAAAATGACTTTTAATTTAGTATTATAAATTTAAAATTACTTTAGTTAAATAATAATGATAATGATTTAATATTCTAATAATAATATATGCGTCACAGTCAGATATATATATATATGAATGAGCGTTTTATTTTAAATATTGACTTTTATTTCCATTCCAAAAGATGTGTCATCCATACGTGGGCAATGTGAGAAACAAAATATTAATCTTTCCAAGATTGGCATTTTTTAATAAGAATAGTGTCTTTTTTTCAAAATTATGTACGACGTAAGTAAAAGTCCTTTAATAGATGAGTATATCTTCCATAAGAATTTTTAACTGCATAACAAAATATATATACAAAATTTATGCCATTCTCAGTACAAAGTCCTTATTATTCTAATTTCCTAAAAAATAAAATCTGACTTGTTTTGGCGTACACATTGTCCTCAAAAAACGTCTCACGTGTTTCCTATCTCAGAGTTAGTCATGTTCTTATTATTTATGAAAAATATAAATAAAGGAATCTTAATATATACAATAACATATTTATTGTACTAAGCATTATTTACTGTCTAATATAATTTCAGGTGGACGGCACGATGCAAAAATCATGCACAACGGTTCTCTCGTCAAGCGCTCCGACGCGCGCAAACGAACAGGGTGTCTGTCCCACCTGCAACCGCCATTTTGGTATCAAAGCTTACGATAGGCACGTGGCCTGGTGTAAGGATAGAATCGCACAGGTGCCAGTCAGCCCAGCAACGAATATTGCCAAGGAACGACTCGAAGCTCGGATGAAGTATCGGGCCCCATCTTTGAAGAGTCGCAGACAAATTACACGCGAAAAATATTCACCAAACTCTGCTACGAATCTTCATTCCGGCAGCAAAACATCGCCCACGCAGCCCATGAATAGAGCCAAGGAAAGCGCCTCGGCACCGAACTGCAACAAAGGCAATGATGATCCTATCAAGCAGAAACCTGCTATTGTGTAAGTTACCATATATAGTTCTGATGTTTATCGCTTGTTGTATTACACATATCAAGTATCACGATGGTATCGCATAACTAGACAATAGAAGTTAATGCAAAGTAAAAGTTAAACGCGTTGACTACCACGACAGTCACCGATTACCGAAGCTTACTACAAATTACAAGATAATAATTATCATTTGTAAGGTAACTGATGTCGAATAAAAATGCTCAGTAACGTAAATAACTAAATAATTACGTAACGTAAGAATTTTCACACTAAATAATTAATAATTTTTCCTTTTTATCATTATTACTAAAAGAACAATTGATATATAAAAAACTGATGCTTTTAGCGATGGTCAACGTGTTAATATACAAATAAAGAAACATCTGCTTCTCTAAAAATGTAAATAAATGTGAAAAAACAGTATGCATTTATAAGAACGTCTGTAACTTAATAGTGGACGACAAAATAAATAATACAAACATGAATTTACAAAAACTTTTGTGAATAATAATTATGAGTAAGAACCTCAAAAATTCTTTTCTAACTATACGAATTTATAAAAAAAATTTCATTATTACAGAAGACGTTCTGGACAATCGAAAGAGGCAAATCCGACAGGACCAATGAAATCTAGACCAAATGATCGCACGAATAGGTAAGCGCCTTACACTTTCCCAGCTACGCAATCAGTATTACCAAAAAATACGATAAGAAATCCGTAGTATTTACGATTAGTTTAATTGTGGCTAGTGTGCACGAGGAAAAAGAAAAGGGACAAGGTTGTTTCCACCGGAGAAATATTTGCAAATAAAAAAAAGAGAACGACACCAAAAAGTATTTGCTAAGAGATATTATAAAATAAATTAAACTTTCCATTAAAATAATAATCACAAAGTTATTCGCAATTTCTTCTAAAAACGTTGACGGCTCTCTTGATGTCAGGTCATACATCCTTGATCCTGTTTCCTCATCCTCAGGCCACCAGAAGACGAGTCCGGACCGGTTACATTTCGACCTGCGCCCCTTAGTAAAAGAACCCTCCTTCCTGTACCACCCTTAAAGTATAAGAAACAAAATCTCGAAGAATTCAATATCGTTCCTTCCCCGAGATGCAAACAACAGGCCCGGAAGACGACCAAGCGAGATCAGTTAAAACACTGTCGAGCTAAACCCGATGAGAAGAATCAGCTGTTGCTTTCAGCTAGGTCGCAGAAGTCGAACATCGTTTCCGCTAGGAGCCAAGGGAATCCAAAGCTGAATGACGTTTCCATTAACGTTGATGTCATTGGGATGACCGTGAAACCTTGCAACATATATTCAGGAAGTGAACTGACTACTTGGAAAAGGATCAGTGAGGAAAAAGATCATCCAAATGAAAGTAATGAAAGGGATATTAAAGGTTTGAGTTCCTATGAGTATGATGAAAGAAATAGACATCTTATACATTCTATTCTAAAAGAGAAAGAATCGAAGGTCGAGTTAGATGACTCGACTGTGGATATGAACAGGTTGAGTTCAAGAACAGAGAGTCCAATTAATTGGCCACCTGCTACACCGAGATTGAATCGAACCTACTCGTTCAAAAAATCATTTGAAGAAATTAATGACCCCCAATTATGGGATCAATGGAGATGGAAACCTGTGAAAAACAGTCCTCGAGTGGAATTTTGTTTGGGAAATGTAGAGAAGGTACAAAAGCTACATACGTGCTCTATTAATTACGATTTTCAGTGTTTAAAGAAAGGGACAGATGATGAGTCTTTGAAGGACTTGGACTGCAAAAAAAAGAAATCGAAAAATTCCGAAAAATTTTCGGGATGCTTCAAATCGGCAAGGGACAAAATTTTGGAGAGGAAACGGTTGAAGTCTCCTGGTTGTAAAGAATTTCTTCAAGGAAGTCAGAAAGAAGTGAATTGTTTTGACAATGCTAAAATTGTGTACTCGAAAACAAATATTCTGGATAAAAGTAATAATAGTAAAACGTGTAGAGATTTTCAAAGAAAAATTGATGATACGAACAAAAAAATTGTGCAAGAGGATTTGATGAAACTTTCTAACGAAAAATTGGCATCCCCAATTTATTTTGAACAATTTGAACTTTCTGAAGAATTAAATAATTTAGAGGTAGATAAAAATAATTTAACTATTAACGATGAGGTGTCTAAGACACTGTCAAGAGATAAAAATGAATCTAAACTAGTAGACACTTGGGAAGCTAAAGAGGAAAATGTAAATAACGTAGATCATTCTTGTACTATTAATGAATCAGAATTTCTCGCAAAGAATAATAACGATATTACAGAGTTCTGCGATATTGAAGCAAAGTTAAATGAGATTGAGTACGAACCTGTTCTCCTGAAAGATGTATTGCGTCCAAGTAGATCGAGCACACCGTTTGATATCGCAAATAATTGGAATGAACTGGAAAATTCACCGAAGAAATTAAATACTCCTCCTCAAAATAAATGGGAAGTAAGTATAAATAAAGAGACAGGATCTGAATTGTTATATCGCGTTGAAATAGAAGAATCGATTTGTCCACATTCGACTCATACCGACTTCGATAAGTTAAAAAAGATAGACACTGAAATCACACTAACAAAACATCAAGATTACCCAACCAATAGTTTTTTAAATGATAGATCATCAATGATTCAAGAAGGAGAAGTAAATACTCAAATTATCAATAAAAACGACATGGCTATTCAGACGACCATCTGTAAATGTTCGTTAAAAGCTATCGATGAAAGTGTCGGAGAATCTATGAATACCAACGAGTCCTTAACAAACAAAAATTCAACAATATTTGAAAAAAATCAAGAAGCATCTTCGAAAACGCAAGTTGTCGATTTTCAAGAAATTCAACAACTATCTAAACAAGATCAACGCGAAATAAACTCGGAAGAAATTAGTCAAGATTACAAAGAAGACGTAATAGATAATCCTAAGACAGATAGTGAGTCGAAATTCACGAAGCCCATTACCAAAACGATCGAAATCGCAGACGAAGAAGTGCAAGAAATTTACAAAAATTCCTCGTCAAAAGATTTCGATTACACTACCGATGAATCTATCAACGAATACGAAGTTGTACCGAGATGTGCTCACGAGACCTCCATCAGAGATAACGTAATTGACGCGCGGAATTTACGATCGATGATTTTATCGGAGTCCCGAATGACCGTGAAAGAATCGTCGGGCGTAGCCTGGAAGTCGCAGTACTCGAAGATGATCGGGATAGAAAACAAGATGTTCGGGATAGAAAATAAGATGTTCGGGAATGCGAACGAAATGAATAGCAGTAAAGAGAGTTTATCGTCGATCGATGGCGTGGATCTTGCAGGTGTTAAACAGGTGGAAACCCTCGAGGTGGAGACGATCGAGGAAATCGGGACTAGAAATAGGAGCATCAGGTTCAGGATATTGCCGGAGATCAAAGGAACCACGGTGATGGTTAAAAAGGATTACGATGAAAGAGGAACGATCAGTACCCAGACTTATTGGGAAAAGGCGTCGAAGACGTCCAGACATCGTTTAATTAATCTCGATTCGCCGTGTCAACGGACTAGCAGGTTTCTTAAGAGAAATCCAAAAGTCCATATCCTTCCTCCTGTTCCGAGTAACTCTTCCTTGATGAAATGCAGGTAGGGCGGGTTGAATGGTAACTTTGTCCAATGAATTTTTCTTTTTCCTTTTTTACGTATTTTTAACTCCTTGCCTTATGATTTATTTCTTCATTATGATCGATACAACTACATTACTGTCAATACTTCATTAAGAAAAGAACAAACTTTTATGCTTATCCTATGCCCACGTTTACTATAAAGGTTAACGATTGATAATAGAAAAATAATATTTAATTTATATTTAACAAAAATAAATAACACGCAGATTTCTTAAATTCGGATTAAAATTTTCGTCTCGAGTCTGACACGACATTGTAGATCAAGGGGTTAAACATTCAATGAATAATTCATGTAGATTTCGGTGTATTAATCCTTTGCGGTCGAATGCCGCAGTAACGAAGAGCTTTTGAGCTTTCATATTTGAAGTCGAATGCTGCAAATAAATCATTTCATTACTCAAATAATGAGAGATTGATATGTGGTTTTGTTTTTTTCTAGTATTTAAGACTTCTATGAATTTTCGGTTCTTTACGGGAAGAGTTCCTGGAAGTTGAAGAAATGTTTGTCCGCAAAGGGTTAACGGTTTGTGTTTTAGCATAAAAATGAGAATAATAATCATAGGAAAATCTGAGAATCATTTATTTCTTCGCTCACAATCTTTGAGAAATTTAATTTTGAAATTAGAAACAAATTATCAACTATATTACCACGTTGAATGCCGTGGGAGTCACCGGTGACCCCAACTAAAGCGTATTACTATGGTTCACACAATTAAACGTTGATCATGTGAAAACATTTCTATATTCTAAATAATGTTATCTAATGTGGCGATATTCAGCTAGACGAACGCGCAATAAAAATAATGTAATTCAATCAAATTATTCAATATTTGATTTCTTCCATTTCATGTATTTTGCTCTATGAAATTGTACAGCATTCAATGTGTTAATGATGGCTTCTTATAATTTTCCTTGTACCAAATACCCTTTAAAAATCTTAATGACGTGTGTATATGTTACATCTCTTGCCAAAGTATGCACATCATATTTTCCTATTTGATTTGAATATTATTCACGGGAAAAGAATTGATTTATTAGAAATACAGTTTGACCTGCTAATGCAAAAGTAATTAACAGAATTACATAGAAATAGATTGTCGTGTGATCGACGCGTTGCTTGCAAGTATTTGAATTTCATGCATTCAGGGTATCCATTATTAGAAAATAATTCGACTCACAGGTTTTAAATAACAGTGAATAATTTGGGATTCAATCTTGTCATTCAATTACTCGCACATTGAAGAACCATCGTTTCTTCGTTTTACGTAGAATTCTTAACGCAGTAAAATATTATAGGAACTTAACACTGCCATTACGTCCCGTATGGAGCAATTACGTGCGCAGGCGACCGGATTTTAATCTTGTACTTAGCAGTAGAACGTAAGTTCCAGGTGGTTGAACAAATCGCTATGACAGATTTCTGGTTCCCCATAAAATCATATTTTTGAATCGTTTCGCTTTCTTGTTAGCCCACCAGAAGCTTCAAACAGGATATAATCCAAACATCAGCTATACAGACAGTATAGAGAACCATGTTAAGTCTTATAGGACGTATTAACCCTTTGTACTCGAGCGGTAACTTACAATCTCCATATGATTTGAAATAGCAAACTTATAAAATTAGATATTCAGTATTAAATTTAATACAGTATAATAAAACGTGAAATGTTGAAATAAAATAATTCTATCCCTTGATTCGCGTATTATTTCTAGTTCATACAGCCAAACATTTAATCAATGTTTCATTATAAAATGAATATATGTAGTGAAAAACCTTTCGAGTACGAAAGGTTAAACCATTAAACAGCCATTCCTATAAATTTAGAATAAATGAAATCTGTGAAATACATTTCTCTTTTTAACGCCTTATCCTATGAATTCTTTCACAACTGTGCTCGATAAAACTACTTTATCGTTAATAATTTATTAAAACAAGAAAAGAATTAGATACTCATGCTGTGTCTATACGTGCTCTAAAAGTTAAAAATTGATAACAGGCAAATAGAACTTAATTTATATTAAAATTAAATTAATAACACCTCGATTTGTTGAATTCGGTTTAAAATTTTCATCACGAGTCTGTCACGATATTATAGGAGAAGGGGTTAAATAGGTTTTAGTTTTTGAAAATATTATAAAAATCACTTTAAAGACTTGTGTTCCATATGGCCCTATGATTAAGTTGATTTTTGAACGTTTATTATTATTGAATAATAAACTTATTATTCCAAATAAAATCGATATTAAAAGTTGACATGGTTTCTCGATCTTGGCACGTTTATCAGTGTACACTGTGTCGCATGCGAATGAAACAACCCATTCCCGAGCATTTGCCCGCTATATCGCATAGAGATATGCTTTGAAAACTTGATGAAAGAACATGTTTCATATATTTGCCTAAGGCTAGAAGACTTGACATAAATATTATACATACGTGTTATTATTTCCTACCGTTTAACGCGTACAACCTAGTATCGTTTGTTAGAATAGAAAACGTATATTAGTTTCAACCACCACTATAGAAAATGTTCGGTTCACCGAAGTTCTTTATAGCATGAAAAAAAATTTTTGGATTTTCTTTTACCAATATCACTTTTGACCACCTGTTTTCGTTTTCCACAGCACAAGGTGTTTGAAACAGGCACGTCGTTCGATGAGAGGTGTTGAAATAACCTGAATAAAATTATAAATCACGCATAGCACCATTGTTCCATGATTGAAGATGTTTCTATTCTGACCCTCTGTAATTTAAGAAGAAAATTAAGATCATAAGAAATTAAATATAAAAACGAAATTATGTTTAGGAGAAGAAAATTAAAATTCATTAGAATTTCAAGGCTTTGGTGCTATGACACCAAAACAAAGGATTTTTGTATCTTAATTGAATATCAAGAACGATAAACTAAACAGTAGGCTACACTGATATTTTGTATCGTGACCAGTGATTGTTATATGCGATTAAATATTTCTTAAGTTTTAGTAAACGCGAGTCTGAAACTGTGCAACTTTGAAATATCAATACGTTACGGAGGGTTAAGTGTTTCAATGAAAATTGAATGAAATGTATCATGCAGCATGGATTTAATTTCAGATTACAGATTTAAAAAGTATTTAAAAGGTACAGTTTAGTGGATAGTGTAGTCAAAAATGTTTCGGGTTAGATTTTACAACACAAATTTAACAGGATTATATGTACCAAGGGTATCTTTAAAAAATGGTTTCTTTAGGTGAAATAGTAAAGCAGGTGAAATTAAATTAGCAATATTTTGTTAGAATATTGTCAGTAACCCAAACTAAATCAAATAAATATTGTTGAATAAATTATACAAATTATCCATGGCTAAAATTGTCAGAGAAGTTCCTTTTTCTCATTACGGAAATTTAATAAATATAAAATGTTTACATATATATTAAAGATACCAAAAATTTTCTTCAAAATATTAGTTTGATGAATTAAGCATTTTCAATATAATATTAGTGTAACATAATGTTTATTTAATTTTACATCCTTTACAACCTTTACAACCTTTCTGAGGACTAAATTTTTTCAAAACACTTCACATACATGGTATTCGCTATTAACTTGTTTCGTTACGTAATAAAATCCAAATATCTTCATATATTTGAGAAAAACTTTAAAAACATTTTGTAGTATCCAATCGAATCCTTTGTACTTATACTTCATAAAAGTATTAATTTATATTTATACTTAGTAAGTAAATAAATTCAGTAAATAACTTCATTATTTATACAGTACTTATATTTCATAAAAGAATAAATAACAATAGTATCATATAAAATACAAGAAAATAAAAGAATCTTCTTAACACTTTACCTATCGATAGTAGTGAAAATCGGATTTTCAGTGCAAATGATTCTGAACCGAATTTTTGAGAAACTAGAGCTTATCATTGTATAAATGAGTAAATTAACATTGTATAAATTATGTTATTGTTCACATATTGGAAAACGTATTATAAGTTCTTCATAGGTATCAAATATTTTGAAATTATTCCTTTTTATTAGGTTGATGTAAAAATTTTGAGGTTTCTTGTATGTTAACAAAAAAATGTTTTTCTTCGAAACAAATAACCGTTGTTCTCAAATTATTATAACGTGTATAAAACTCTTCTTTTTATTTCTTAAAATAAAAACTTGAAAACTTTTGCAATCAGCCCAATATAATAACTCGAAATAATGTACCGCTGATATCAGCACTATGTTTTCATTCTAGTAAGCCAGTAGATAAAGTGTTAAATATCTTTCCGTGCCAAGCTAAACACTTTCGGACCTTGCTAGGTATCCTAAAGTGTCCTAGTCACAAAATTGTCTTCCTATTTTCAGCGGCAAGGATTACAATCCTTTCCTGCTAGCAGAGCAACAGATGAACGACCTACTGTCGGATGCCAGCGAGCAATCCGTAGCGGACAGCCCGTTGCTCGAGCAAAACCGCGAGACCCCGTTTCCTCTCTCTCATTCCTCAGCCTTCGTCAAATATCCTTATCAAACTTCTTCCTCAAATCCCAACAAACGATCGTCTTTAATAGCTCCCCCCACAGAATTCGATGACTTAACTTCAGATTTCTCGAGCGACTCGACTGAAACCAATTCATTGTCCCGAGAAGTCTTCTTAAAAGACGACTCCAAGTCGAATGTCGATAAAAAGTCACCGGTCAAAGAGTTAGGTAGACGAGTGATTATCGACAAATCGAAGGCTCTTGGCGGAGAGGTGTCAGAGGACTACAATCGAGGCAGCAGGAGTTTCGTTGGTAGCTCCGAAAAGGCTCGGAAGATCCTCGACAAAGTCTCGTCCAAAATGGTCCGGCCAACCGTCAATCGTTCTTTCTCCGTTCGAGCTTCCTCCGCTCCTAAAACTACTCTCGATAAAAAGAACAATTCTAACGAGACGAAGAAATCTTCTAATAAGAACAATGATTCACAGAGATCCTCTAACGCCAGCTTGAATAATAGAAATAACAATTATACGAACCTGTCGGGCAGCAATCTTAGCCTAAGCTCCATAGTGTCCTCGGACGTAGACATTAAACGATCGAACTCGGCCTTTGACGAGTTGATGACTTCGTTCGAGGATGAGAACGGTTCCTTCACGTCCCTGAAATCCCTCCTAAAAAACGATCCCTTGTCCGTGTCTAGCCCCGTTCACGGAAGACAGCGGAACGATCAGAACAGCGACGAGGAGCTGTCTTCGCCGGAAAGCTACAAGAGGCAGGATCACGGCAAGTTTAGCGGGGACTCCGCTTATAGCAGGTTAATATATATTCTGATATTTAATTAAAAATTTCACATTTTAATATTTATCCTTTGCGGTCTGAAATTTTCATTTCAAACATCAAATTATTTAAAACGGAACGATCGTGAAAAGCTATGTCATAACTATTACGAAAATTTATAAAACATTTAAACATTATATATACATATAAGAAGTGACCGGGGTCCAAGTCTATACAGTGCGTAGTCACGGCCCTGCATAGCTGTGGTCAGCGAGCGATGTCCGTGTGGCGCGAAAGTTCCGTCACGCGCTCTTCGCGGACATTTTCTTACCCTGTCCCAAAGAAAAACCGATCTCACGCTTCCCACGGAGGGTTCCTCTTCAGAAATGTCTGCAGAATCCAATGGCGCATAGCAAATTCGTGCTAGCCAACCCACTTTTCGTAGAAATGTAATAGAAGTGCATACAAAGTACGCGCATCTAAACTTTTTTAAACTTTGATCATCATTTACAAACATTTAATGATATGCAAAATTCAAAATTTTTATAGCTACGTATTAGGGAAAGTCTCCTTTATTTTCTGCGATAAATTTTAACTGTCTATCGTTTTTAGTTTTCACGTAACACTTGGTCTTCTGAAAAATTCGACCGTTTTTACAGAAACCCAGTTTTTTTCGAAAACTCGACATGACCCAGCAATTTGGTTTTCGGATTCGTATTTAGGGTAAGGAACTCTATAAGAATCACCTAGTGGTTATTGTACCGTGGCAGTCAACGTGTTAACGTTTACATAACGATTTCTTTTGCAATAATGAATTGTTTTAATGATTGGATAAAAAACAAGAGCTTCTATGTTCAAAGTATATATTCGTTTATTTTTATTATTAAATATTAATAAGACAGGAATAATACATTATTTTGACTGCAAAGAAATGAATAATGATCGTATTTAATAAATTCAGTTTAAAAATTGTACTGCATCATTCGATATTCTAAAGCAAGGGATTACTTAATTTAAAACTTAATACGGCACTATTATAATTTATTTAGAAATTATTTGAGTATTATTTACATTATACTTATTTACGAATATAAACATAATATTACGCATAAATATAATGAATACTAGAGTAAAATCAAATGTCCAGTTTGTCCAGTTTGTCCAAATATAGAACCGTAAAGGGTTAACACTTTGAGGGCTGTAGTTGTGACTGTGTAAGTAGCTGTATCCACAAAAGTGAATACACTTGTTGTCTGGAAACAAATAAAATTGCGTTAGCGACCGTAATGAAAAGTGCAAAAGGTAGCAGAGAAAGGAAAAAAGGCAAAAGAAAGTAATTAATCTTTCAATTCGTAAAAATTAACACTTTCATTGCTATTGAAATTTTTATTTTCTTACTGAAAAGCAATATACCTTTTTTTTTTACTTTTGCATTTGTGTATTTAGCTGTATTATCAACTATTACTTGAACAAAACAGTGAAGAATATTTAAATATGCCACGGCGACGCGATATGTTCCTTTGAAGCGTGGAGATACGACAGTAATTTGCACTCAGTGAAATGCCATCTACGTAAATTGTAAAGTCAACAATTACGTCAGCGATATCACAGAGACTATTGACCGAATACAACGTTTGTATCACTGTGTCAAGGAAAGTGTTAATGAAAGAAGATATTTTTTCGAAAAATCTCTCATTGTGCGCGCCATAAAATCAAATAATAAAGTGTTTACTTGTCAAACACAGAATAAATGCATCTATAAGATATTCTAACTAAAAACTAAAGCAAAATGAAGAAGAAACACATTTATCTGAACAAATAAATAATTGATCGTTGAAAAAATTAGTACCATTTTGCGCTTTAAGATGGTGTGTACTCGTTGAGCGCAGATAACTGATTAACATCTTCATCAAACCAAAATCGTCTATTCAGTAACAATTTTAAAAGTGTAGTCGATAATAAATCGTTTTATGAAATTTGTTGAAGTGAGAAAATTGATGTTTTCCTCGAATTTCCGATGTGGTACACCTACCGCGGTGGATTCGAGGAGCCCCCTCCCCCCCTTGCTCGTCTTAGGGTTAATCGAATTTATCGTAACATATGAGCCCCAGTACAATACTATCTTCCGCATGCCTAAAACCTCTTTAAATTTCTCCTTCCTAGTTTAAATCGCAAATATTCGCACCATGGACGCAGCACCAACGACGTGGCGGGTCGGCTCGACGAGGACCATATGAGGCAAAACCGGGTCAGGAGCGACGGGGACGGGGTCACGGCCATGCCCAAGTGCAAAATGTCGAAATTCTGTCACGAGTGCGGCTCCAGGTTCCCCGAAACCGCGAAATTCTGCTGCGAATGCGGCATCCGGAGACTCGTTCTTTGAGGGTTCAACATGGAGCGAAAAGGAAATCCAAAGATACGCCCCTGAATAATTTATCCTTGTTGTAATTAGAAGGCAGAACAAATGAAATTGCGTTAACAGATTTTTTCTAGAAGTCGGTCGAGAAATATATTCATAAGATAATCCGAACGAAACGTATATAATCGTGTTAAGTAGATTTGGTGTGGTTTGAGTGCGAACGGGATGGTTCAAATATGCAGAGTGTTATTGACGTATCTTTGAACGTAAATGAATGATAAAAGTCGTGAATACTGTTTTATGAAGATTCCTACTGGTCTGGGTGAAGAAATATTCAATGAAAACTTAATAAACACGAATACTATCAATTTTGTATTGGAATAGTATTGGGTTGATGGAAAATATATATAGACACAGCATTAAACTCTGTCTTAAACGATCCAAGTATTAATTTTACTAAGCTTAATCTTTATCTGATTATTCATCGTGTTCTGTAAAACTAAATTAACAGATTATCTTACAATAGTTTAATAGAATTAATATAATATGTTGCTATATAAATTCCTTATACTTAATTTTGATATATGAAAATCTAGAATATTTTTCGTCATCGCTGCTTCATTGCAATTGAGTATCTTCAAAATTAAGTAATACACGAAAATACTTGCTTGGTTCGAAAATTAACTTGAAAGCAATTGAAGTTTATTTTGTGTTCGTAAGACCCTACATTTATAGCTTATGCATTTATGTTTTGCTGGTCGGGAACACAAAGATTTTAAAATGAAATATTTTTAAACATTTAGTGTTTTACACTTTCATGTCTTATTGATTTGAAAATGTGATTTGTAATTTGACCAATGTATGTATTTATAACATATACAGTTCTCTTAAATTTGGAATATTAAAATATCTAATCAAATTTGTATGACTTTTAATTACAGCCTTTGATAAACGTTCATTGTTTCGTCATTAATCTATTTAATCATTTGAGCAACGAATTTAAGAATAGAAAAACCTCATTTATATTTGAATCATCCCTATGAAATCAATGAACAAAAGTCGGCACGATGGAATTGAAAAAGGAATTATTTTAAATACACGTAAATAATTCTTATCGTTAACGAATCAGGCTCTATTCTTGCAGTGTAGAGCTAAGAATGATGAAAGTTCAAACCGCTATTTAACTCTAGTCACATATACCGATCAACGAGAGTTTCAATGAGGAAATCATATATTCTAAGTATTAGGGAACACAACAAAACAAACGTCAATTGCAGATGACAGAACCAACATTATGATTGTATAATTGATAAATGAATCATTGTACTTATTCGTTGGAGTAAAGTCAGTTTATAGAGTTTGCAAATAGACAGCAGAGGAGTACGGATTTAAAAATTGGTATAGATTCGATTTTGCATTATAGATTCTGCTAAAGCACGTGAGATGCAGTGTTAAAGTAATCGTAACTATTGAAAGGAGAAGTTCAGATCCTTTAAGAATGTATATCGATTTCTTAAAAGAAACAAAAATGCTTATTTAATATCAAGATTACAACACGTCGTAATGAAGAATATTTCAATTATTCATTGAATATTTTTAATGTTTATTCTTAGATAATTACTGCCACGCGTTCTATTACAGTTTAAAAACTAAATATAATTTCAAAATGGTCTACATCTTAAAACACATTTTAAAACAAATTACTTTAATTTGTTTATAGTATTAATTTCATTTTTAAAACAGGTGAAGATAATATTAATTAAACGTTTTTTATTTCGTCTTGTAATTAATATTGCACAAAGCATATTGCATATTATTTTTCCTAAAATAAGTTTTAAAGCTCAAGAAAGTATAAAATTAATCATTTATATCCAAATTAAATTATTCGTAAACGAGGACCGATTCAATAATTACTAGATTTAAAAAGATTAATATTCATAATTGTTTCAATTCCATTATAATGATTATTATTTTTAATAAGGTTGATTAGATTTGAATCTAATGTTTAAAAGAATTAAATATGCGTACATTATATGTTCGTTTTTTAATATTTATCAATTTCCAAAATGTTACTTCATTTTATAAAAACAAAAAAAGAGAATTTAGTATACATTGCTAATATCCTGAACTCCCTTTAAGCGCTGTTTTTACTTCAATATAATGGACGGAAATATTTCAAATAAATTCCATTTGATTTACGATAAATATATAGATGAACAAAATGAAACTATGTAATCGTAGATAGAAGTATTAACCGTTAGCACTGTTCTTTGTTCATTTGATTTATCGTTGATATCCTTGATCACACTTTGTATCTTCACACTGCCTCGATTTCATGTTGGTCTTCGTGAAACACGTTGAAATCAATCTTCTTTTTTACAAAATATCCTATAAGATATGGAGTAACTAGAAAGTTATAAATTTACCTTAAAGGAAGGGTGAAGAGATGATAAAAGAAACAGTTGATTTTAATAAACTTGAAAATGCAGGGTTGTAACGAGAAAATTTAACATATGTTCTCTTAATCGTTATTTTATCTCAGATTCTCTGCCTTTTTAATGGTACCGTTCGTTATTAAACTTCCTGCACAATACTCCGACTGTAATGTTTTTATAAGCTTTTTTATACGAATGAGCACAACGAAGCGAGTCTATCGATTACGCAATGTACTCGTATCACGTGTTACGTGTGTTAAATAAAATGGCATAAGCTGAACGACATTCGTTAAAAATAATTCGGGACGTTTTACGTGATAATGATCATTTTTTGGTATCGATGTCATGAATTTTATTTAAAATGAAATATTATATAACGCATTTCAGATTAGGATTGGTTTAAAATAAAGAATGAGTTAGTGAGAGTGATTAATAAAAGCATTTTGTAGCCACAAATGGGACAGTATATAAAATTGTCTATATTCTCAATATTATAAAATTAATTTTTCCACCAATAAAAATAGCCTTACCTGATCTACTAAGTAGATTAAACATTTTAACTTAAAATAAAAAGGAAATTCAACACGATTCAACAAATGGTTGCAATAGTTACATTTTCATAAAAATAAATAAGAATTTTTAAATTCAAAGGTGCATAACTTAAGAAAACAATTTGAAACCAATGAACTGATAACTTAAACACCTATCCACATATCTATTTCACGTACAATGAAGCATATTTTATTTCGATCAAAATTCCCAACACCGACACAAAAAAGTGATCAATGATGAATGACTCCTCTGGTTAGTTAGAGCCGATTATTAAACATCAATGCGTCTAACGAAATTAAGGAATCGCCGCTAAAACGCAAGACCCATATTTTTTAACGAATCTAATAGTCAATAACCGTCACCGAGGTTATACCTAATCCGTCCAGGTAGTTTTTTGATAGCGTTTAATTTCCTACTAAAGGGCGATTCGACGTTGCCATTAACTCTCTGGTGTCCAAACAATACTAAAGAGGAACAGCCTACGAGAAAAGAGCCATCGCGCGAGTCAAACTAACTGTGTAATAGTTGTACCAATAAATCGTCTATGTTTCGAACTGTATTTTTGCAAGTGCAATAAAAATTATGCTTGTAAGAAAAAACTATCCGTCAAGTACTGCTAGATCACTTGATGACTAGATTGACGAATTCGGCTGATTAATCAGTTTTTATTCCTTTTTACCCAATTTCTGTTGATTTTATTTTGATATTTTCCACCATAAAATGGCACGGTCCCATTTACATCGTGAAATATCTGTATTTTCAATTGTTTTTAATGGTATACTGAATCTTGCGCAGAGGCCTATTTAACTACTGTTATTATTAGTACGTACTTTCATAAATATATTTTCTTTTTGTTAGGTATTAACATTATAACTACCAAGCATTTATTGGGGTTGATATGTAACCCTCATAAAGATTATAACGATATATTCTTTTCCGACTTCTTCGGATATTTGTTGAAGTATTTAAGTAAAACTATTTATTTTGAAAATCATTTCGGATATTGAATACTTTGAAAATATTAATACAATAAAACCCCGTATAACACGAATAAAAAATTCCACGTTGTCGGGATTTTGCGTTTGCGAATCTCGAGTTTAATTTCCTTTTTCGATACTAGTCCAACTTCTTCTTCTGTTTGTATTATTTTCTTATGAAGAATCTTACTTTTATAGTTATTTTTCAACAATCTTTTAATCGTGTTATATGGGATCCTACTGTAATTGCAAAGTAAGAAAACTGAAACTCATCATTTTGACGGGCACGGTAGTTCTAATATTAACCCCTTGCTCTATGATTCCTGTCCTAATTGTGTTCAACAGAGCTATTTTATCGTTCGTAATTTATTAGAAGGAAAGAAAACTTCTAGGCTTATTCTATATCCACGTTCACTTTAAAGCATTACAATTAATAATAGAAAAATAATATTTGATTCGGACTTGAAAGAATTAAATGGCATTTATATTTGTTAAATTGCATTTAAAATTTTCGCCACGAGTTTTAATTGGTATTGTAAGGCAAGGGGTTAATGATATTTACGATGCAACAGTTTTTTTTTAAAAAAAGTGCGCCATTTCTCTCCAACTTACTCTACTAGAAAAACACATCTTGCCCCTAGTCATTCCGCTATACATTAAGTCACCTCTTAACCGTAATGTAAATAAATACTGCATAAGTATACTTACACATTCCTCTTACCTCCTGAAAATAGCGTACCTTGCACGTTTCTTTTATCGAATGACAAACGACGGGGAGTGTCAAGGTTGCTCGGCGTGACAAGAACACTTTTACACGGTGGAAATGTTACGATCTATAAATCGGTTATCAGGAATCCTTGTAAGTAATAACGTAACGATCAGTGAAATTTGCTGTGGATCGAGTCAGATTTTATCGTTCGATGTTTGCAGCGTTACGTGCCGCAGCCTCGACGATTTAATAAGAAATGTTCGCGGGGTTTTCATGTAAACGTCAGTCCAGGAGAGAAAGCGAAATGCGGAAAGGAGAGCGGTGATAACGTAAACAGTTTTCAATATACACTTTTATTTTGAAATAACTAATGTAAAGGTTTGTTGATGAATTAATTCTGTAGATTTGAATGTCCGAAATTTTCTTTACAGAATTATCCTATGATCGATCATTGCTATGATGTTGTGATCGTTGGCGCCGGGGGAGCAGGGTTAAGGGCAGCATTCGGTTTAGGTAATGCTAATTCGAACGTTTCCTAATTAATTTGACGAATAATATTATTTATTAATATAAATTAATAATAAACTTTTTTGTTTGGTAGATAATGTCGGTCAACTATTTTAAATTATTTTCCTTCAATCCGATTAGAATATTTTATATTAATCTATAAAGTAAAAAGTATAATAGCTTTTATATTTGTTAAATTAATTTTATTACTTTCAAATAAATTTGCCATTCTTAGTATCTGTTTAATTTAACATTTCAAATGTGTAATGAAAAGTTTTAATAACATTTTTTATCGACGATACAGATGTCGGTCAGTTTCTAATTTAAAATGTATTAATATTTTCATTTCTGCTTTAATATTCGTCAATATAAACTGTTTTTAGAGATTGCAATTCGCTTGCGTGCTCTTTTTTCATTATTCAGGGAGTAAGGGGTACCGTGTAGCAGTGGTAACAAAATTATTTCCGACGAGATCTCACACGGTGGCCGCACAAGGTGGAATAAATGCCGCAATCGATACCGAGAGCGATGACACCTGGCTGTACCACATGTACGACACCGTTAAGGGGTCCGATTGGTTAGGCGATCAAGACGCAATACATTTTTTAACAAGAGAAGCGCCACGCGCGGTCTTCGAACTTGAAAATTTTGGTATATTCCATAAAATCCCTTCTATAAATTAAAACTATTTGTTCTGTAATAATTTATAGTTAAATGATACGTCCTTATATGAATACCAATTTTCAAAGACTAATTTATTAATTTATTTTTTAAAAATTTATTATTAATTCATTATAAAAAGAGTAACTTCATAGAATTATCCCAATCTTCCTATTTTACTAACTGCCAAAAATCTAAAAACCTTTCTTTAACCTTTTTAAATTAAACAAACATTCTTTCCATCTATAGATTTTCTTTTAAATCGAAAAACCAATTTTGACTGTTGATACTGTTCCCGTATCTCTCATGTCTTCTATTACTTTTAAATGCTTCTTTTCCCTAAAATAAGAGTTAAAGTATTTATAGAAACAGTAACTGATCTTGTTCTACACACTTTCGCTTTCTATATTCTGTAAATAAGAAGATCGCTAGAGAATCATGTTTACTTGTAGTTACAATACAATGTATTACACTAAAGTAATAGCATACGATTTATTTGAAATATAGAAATGGAAACTTTTTTGATATTTAGGCTGTCCGTTCAGTCGCAAAGAAGATGGAAAGATTTATCAGCGTGCATTCGGTGGTCAATCTTTGAAGTTCGGGAAAGGCGGCCAAGCACATAGAACATGTGCCGTTGCCGATAGAACTGGTCACGCATTGTTGCACACTTTATACGGTCAATCTCTCCGTTACGAAGTGCATTACTACGTCGAGTACTTCGCCCTTGATCTTCTTATGCGCGGCCAATGCTGCAAGGGCGTCTTGGCATGGGAACTAGAAACTGGCTTATTGCATCGGTTTAGGGCGCATCATACGGTAAAATATTTTCTTATTTCCCTTATACCTTTAAGAAATCTTACTGCAATTATACTCTAAGTTTAGAAAGTTTAAAAATGTAAAATAGAAATAGAAAATAGGAAAATCCGAAAAGTAAACGTTTTTGGGCGCATCATACGGTAAAATATTTTTTCATTATCTCCATTGTACGTTCAAAAAATCTTACTCCAATTATACTATAAATTTATAAGGTATAAAAATGTAAATTAAAAATATAAAATATAAAAATATAAGATGTAAAAGTATCTGCAACACAAACCTGAATAGTTTACATAACTTAAATATAATTTTCGAAGTAATTCAATTTCATTTATGCATTTTTGTTATCAAAGAACTGAAAGAAAAAATACGCATATGGCGTAAAAATAGAGTTAGTTATTATACATTCATAAAATATTCGCGCAGTTGAAAGTTGTAATTATATGAAAATTATTTTTAGCATACCGTGTATACGAATATTAGCGTCTGTTAGTAAAGAATGTGTACTAAATCTATTTGAACCTGTTAATTTGACCTGATTCAATTACATTTTGCTTCATAATTTATTTAATTAAGGATTCCTACATCTATTTATATAACAGTATAGATAACATTACGACATTATATTACAGTATATGCATGACTAAAATTTGATGATAAAATTTGAATGATAAAAATATAATCATAACAATAACATTCTACACTGTTTAAGCTATGATTAACTATCATAATATTATTAAATATTATTAAATATTATTAAATATTATCAAAATATTATTAAATATTATTAAATATTATTAAATATTCTTATATGTTATTAAATATTATTAAATATTATTATATGTTATTAAATATTATTAAATATTATTAAATATTATTAAATATTATTAAATATTATTAAATATTAATTGTATTATGATTATTTTTTGTATACCTTACTGTCTATGATGCAAAATGAAGAATTATACGAAAGTTTTAATCATTGAATCAGTTTTTCTCCTTACTGTATAAAGTGCCGGTACGATAACCAATTATTTGACTGGTTATGATAGGAATAGGTATATATAAAGTACTGTTACGTTTAATGTTAAACTAGTGAAATGCTGATTGAAATCAGACCTCAATTCATTGCTAACAAGAAAACCGCGCGAACATTTTCCGGTGCCTAATAGCAATTTGTCTCAGGTGTTAGCAACGGGTGGAGCAGGGAGATGCTATTTGTCTTGCACGGCGGCCCACGCTTGCACCGGTGATGGTATGGCAATGGCCACCAGAGCAGGATTACCGCTTCAAGATATGGAATTTGTCCAGTTCCATCCAACCGGTATTCCGTGCCAACTCAAAGGGAATAATTTCACCCGCGGTAAATCTTTTCACGCATAACAGGTAATATTTTTCATTAGGAATATACGGAAGCGGTATTCTGATAACGGAAGGCAGCAGAGGCGAAGGTGGAAAACTGCTGAATTCTCATGGGGAATTTTTTATGGAACGATATGCACCCAACGCAAAGGATCTTGCCTCTCGTGACATTGTATCTAGAGCAATAACTGTGGAAATATTCGAAGGAAGGTGACGTATAATTAATATAAAGATTAAGTATAGTTGCTCACAGAAGTGTTTGACTCGTGTAACATGCTTTACATGTTTAACGAATGTTAATGTTGAAAATACCTTATGTCATAACAGTGCCTGCAAACTTTTACTCATAGTAATTCTGAAACTATATTTTTCATAAATAAATTGATATGATGCTTTTTTATAAAAGATATAGATTTCTTTTTATATAATCCTTGTATACAGATGGAAATATATATGAAATTAGATTTATTATTTTAGATTGTAATGAAGTCTTATTAAACATCTTATAAGTAAAATTAATTTTTAAATTGTCAAAGCGTTTATAATTTGTTTATGTCGTTGTATTCCATCTGAAATTTTTGGGATTTGTTTCTTGACGTCATATCGGTATGTGCCGGTAAAATAAAAGGAAACATTTCTGTATGCTCGAATTTTTATTGTTCATAAACAATAAAAGACGGTTGTCCAAGACGCTCATACGAGAAATAGATAAGAGTTAAACATGTGTTATCTGTGAAAAGAATTATGAATTTACCTAGAACTTAGATACATAATTTTTTTACAACGAATTGCAAAAGAGAATTAGTGAACGTACGAGTAAAAAAAGGAAAACTGAAACAAAATGTGTACGCAAACTTGTAGAATACCGTCAGTATTCATACTTAATCAATCATTAAAGTACACATAAAATTAAATAATATTTCATTGCACTTTCAATTCAGTTCATTTTCTTATAAAAATGTGAATTTCCATAAATATCCTTAGTCAATTAATCGATTCAATTTAGAGGTGTCGGCGACAAAAAGGATCACGTGTACCTACAGCTGCAGCACCTGCCCGCGGAAACAATACGCACAAAGCTGCCCGGCATCTCTCATTTGGCATGGGTCTTCGCCGGCGTGGACGTAACGAAAGAACCGATACCGGTGATCCCGACTATGCATTACAACATGGGCGGTATTCCTACAAATTGGCGAGCGCAGGTGAGCGAGTTACGAGGAAAGCCGATCTGGTAGCGCGGCAGGTACTTACATGCGTAACACGCGTGAATCATCGACTGACAATTTGCTCGGCTTCGCAAGGTTCTGACGCGGGAGAACGAGGAGGATAAGGTGATCGAAGGACTGTGGGCTGCCGGTGAAACCGCGTGCGCGTCAGTCCACGGCGCCAATCGGCTTGGCGCCAACAGTCTCTTAGAACTGGTCGTCTTCGGCAAAGCGATTGCTGATCAGATCGATTGTATGACGAGACCCGGCGAACGTCATGAAGATTTGTCTGCCGTAAGGATGGATATATGAAAAATGCAGACAGGAAAAAAGCGAGCACGAAAAATGCGCGCATGTATTGTCCAAGAGGGAAAAGACTTCTTTTCCTAAAAGGTAAAAAGTCAGGAAGGCAAGAGGACACATCCACTGTGAAATGAGACCGAATGCGGTGGAGTGAAATAGGTACAGTGCGTTACTGACATGATCCCAGCCGGCCTGTGCCTCAAAAATGAAGAGAGGCAAAGGGACTCAGCCGCACGCTCCAGTTCAGCTCGCGACTCGGCCAGTAACAAAGACGTGCCGAAACTAATTCCGCCATTATTATCTGGCCGAGTACCGCGAGTGGACGTCTCCACTGGCCCCTCTACACTTTTGAGTCACGGGCCAACTTGGCTCACATGAGTAACGCACTGTATATTGCCCTGCATTTCAAAAATTGAAATAGCTAGTGCAAGTGCAAACACAAGTTAACTCGTGACCGGTCAACAATGTGTTAAGAAGATTCGCAAAACAGTAAATAATTTGTTTAACAATAACTATTTTTTTGCAATAATTCAATAAATATGCGGAGCCCCTTCCCCGCCTTCGCTTTTGCTTTACAATTATGCAATTCATATATGTACGGGCTATGGACTATATGTATTTTACATTGTGCGCTTTTTTCCTGAATGTTTTCGTACATGTCCGCCTTTTCTGGCTACTCGTAAGGATATGTCTAATGACTACCCATGATAGCTCTACTTATTGTTAGTTATGAAGCGAATCATTAACCTTTATCCGCCCGTTAAAAAAATCACAGTAAAAGTTAACCTCGGTTTGGGTTGAAAAATGTTCAATATACTCCTAAACCAATTGAAATCGTGATTTCCAAAACAGCACAAGCCAACTGATCGGTATTTCGAGAAAATTAATCTTTTTTTCATGTTCGTTCATTCATTTATTATTTGTTCTGTTGATTTGTAATTGAGTACATTTATAATACGGAATGCTCACAAAAGCACTCCTTGATTTCAAATCGTTACAAATTAAAAATTTCTTGAAATATGTTTACAAATAAGATGACATCAAATACATTAACTGAAAACACATCTTCTATCCAGCGGGCAGTAAAATTCATTTGAACAAAATGGAAAAAATGACCAAACGTTCCCCAAGTGGGTCCCGAAGTCACTAAACATTGCTATTTGCAACTTTTTCCTTTGGAGGTACAAGAAAAACAAAGTGTACTTACGTACCTCCGCTACTCGCAAATATGGATGATATATAGGTACGCATCACTGAAGGTCGAGTGTATGCAATCTACAGATACCACATGAAACTTTATGAGCTAATGAAACTGTAGCCATAAAGGTGAAAGAATATTCCAATAAATTTTGATATTCTAACCATTTGAAGTGAAGGAGTGTCTTTGTGGGTAGCCTGTATTATTAGCACTAGGACGGTTTCCTCATTTTGCAATTATTGTTAGTTATGATGATATTGATATTGAAAATAAATAGATTCACTTGAATACTATAACGAATATCTGAATCTATTAACCCCTTAAAACGAAAAGTGGAGAAAAATAATGCAAAAGCTATACAATGGCTTTCAAAATTTCCCTTTAAATATAAAATGAAGTAATCACTATAGAACGTATTTTACTTAATTATTACAGGTGTATTTTTAATCTAAAGAATATATAAAATATATAAAATAGTATAACTCCGAAGTAATTTTTATTATTATTGCAAGTTTTGCATAGGCAATAGAATTTTTGTTATTTCATGGTATTACATCTAGTAATAAGGAAATTTATTTTTCACATGTAAAGTCAAGAGCCAATGAAGCATTTTAACGTTAAAATCTTGAAAAATTCATGAAGTAGAGTTAATGAATTTGACCAGTGAGTCATTCACATATCAATCATATTAAATGCTCGGTTGTTCTAGTGTTAAATAGATCTGTGTAAGCTAAAAACAGTTACATCGATAACTCATATGAATAACGTTAGAAAGTGAATCGGTGCTGTTTTGGAAGTCATGATTTCAATGGAAAATATAAATCGGGCCATCTCACACGGAATTACACTATGCTCCGACAGCTCCTTCTTATTTCATAACATGTTTCGCGAGCAGGCTGTTAGCGAGCAGTCCGTTTGCCGTTTTGACGCAACTCGTTATGCAAAAGGCTGCATACCCGTCGCCGAGATACGCGAGGAGATGCAACAGACTATGCATCGGTATTGTTCGGTGTTCCGCACCTGCGACGTATTGCAACGAGGATGCCGTGAGATGACGCGGTTGTACACCTGTGATCTACCGGACATATGTGTAGGTGAATTGGCCGATATCTTTCCATTTACGTAAGCGCGCGTCCCGCGGTATCTTAAGGTCTCCTAAAACCATTGTTATGTAACGTTTGTCACCTTAATTGTTTCATTCACTCGGTCAGAACATCAACGAGATTATCTCCAATGTCGTGAATCGTTAAGAATTTGGGAGATTATAGTTAAAAAGATTGTCGTTGATAGCAAGCCGGAAGAATTTACGATGAATATCGAATAATTACTTTTTAATTAAATTGGATTTCTTTAATTAAATTGGAGTGAAATATGATCCATAAAAAGATACAATGTAAATTGTTAGGAAATATGTAAATATATATAAAATCAATTTTATTCGTACCTTTTGGAATTTAGAACTTTGTAATATTTTGCATCCTTGCATTTCTTATCAGTGCATAAAGATCACTGATTTTATACACTTAATATCTGGCATTCTACCTTTTTTTCATTATTAGAAATTATATTTTGCATGTTTCAAGATAGGAATACAATCAAACTTTTACTTTAATGTGCTGGTATATGGGGTGAATGCAAAAGTTTTAACTCTTTTTTATACGAAATAAAAAGAAGGGTTCTCAACTGTTCGCTGGTTAAATCACAACTAAGTAAAATCGAAGAAAGAAGTATCCTTTGTACACGTTATAATAGTTTGAGAACGGATATTATATGTTTTGTAAAAGAAAAACTATTTTGTTAACCCCGTACGAAAAATGTCGAAGTTTTTGCATCAAATCAATACATACAAATTACTTCAGGTTCAGGACCAATCGTTAATTTGGAATACAGAACTGGTAGAAGCTCTCGAAATGCAAAACATGATGCTGGTTTGCATGCATATTATTTTCGCGGCCGAGAACAGGAAAGAATCGAGGGGATCGCATGCCCGGGATGATTATAAGGTATTTACGTAATATAAGTGACCGATGAAATTTATGTAGTTTCTCGGAGCACGAATATAACCAAATGAGACACAAATTAGAAAGTTGTGGACATCGAATAATAAAAGATATCTGCAAAACTTTCTATCAAATATTTAAGCTCACTATGATATTCAGAAAATATAATATAACTGGAAATTTATAGAATTTACTATGCTACTAGCATAAGAAAACATTGCATTTGAATTTGCATTTTAATTCATTCATTCATTGAAAGTGTATTGTAAAATGAATCTATTAGATTGTTTAATTATCGTATTAGTAAAGCAATATAAAAGTAGTTTTAAGATAGTTTGAAGTTGTAATGAGCAAGAATAATATAAATGGAATACAAATAATTAAATATCATTAATGAAAAAGGATGTCGAATTCAAGAAGTTACAAAACAATCGAAAATATTTTCTCATTAAAATGAAGTATATGTTTAATTAAACTAAAATTTAATTTGAAATTATAAAAATAGAAGTATATGAAATATTTAGTCATTTATTTCCACACACTTATTTATATTCTATAAATTTTAAAAATATGTTATGTATTATATGTATTATGTATGAATATATATAAAATAAATGAATATATATTATTGTTCAGGAAAGAATTGATGAATATGATTACTCGAAGCCAATTGAGAGTCAGAAAAAACGTCCATATTGCGAACACTGGCGCAAACATACGCTTACATGGGCTCGAGAGGATGGAGCAGTGAGTTATCAAAGTTTTTTTATCATTGATTCAATAGTCGGTCATATAGAATTAACACATGCAAACTTTCACGTAAATTCCACACGGCCCAGTCTCATGTGACATTGATAAATATAAGGAGATTACATTGTATAAATGACTTTTATAGAAGACAGTGATTCGATGAGCAAAAGTTCAATTTTTATATTATTTAGTATTGTATATTATTTATTTGTTTACTTCATATTATTTAATATGTTTTAATAATTTTACTCAAAATAATTTGTTAGATGATATGTCAAAATTTCTTACTATTTTCATTTCATTATCATTTGCCATCATAACGTTTCACTTTTATTTACAATAGTATTAAAATTATAATAATTAAAATAATAGTTGGTTTCTACGTCTTATTATTGATATTTTCACTATTATAAATGTAATTAATAATTAATTAATGAATTAGTTAACAGTTATTATTATGGATAAAAGTAACACATTATGAGACTCTAAATTAAAGTTAGTGTCTCATAATATTATTAAAAAAAACGTTACGCTTCCATTGTAGTATTATCAAAATATTTATTATTATTTGACATTATTCTTTTTAACTGGTTATTTGAATTTTTCTTATCAACTTTTTTGCCATATCATGGAAAATGACAAAAAAACTTTGCTTACGTTTGAGGAAAACCACGATATCCGACGACCGCGCTTGACGAATAATATTTCACACCATATATAGTGTCCCGCATAATATAATACCAAAGAGTGATTCTACGTGAAAAAATAGGTTGAAAATATGCAATAACATTTTTCATTTGAGACTTTTTTTCCAACCAAATTGGGATTTAGATTTTGATAAGTACGCGTGCATTTAACTGACCATTAAATATGAACAAATTTATCGACAGGAAAATATTCTATATAGATAGAGATCAGTTTATTCTTCACTTAAAACCTTGTTTTCGGATGAAATCTAATTTAAAAATTTATCGAGCAAAATTTCATTTAATTTCTCTTTATAACTTTCAGACATTTATATTTTAATGAAACGAATGGACGGGGTACACCGTACACACGTCACCAACAGTGAAAGGAGTAACAGACGTTAATGATACGTGCTTTTGCAGATCAGCATTTCTTATCGTCCCGTGATCGACTCAACGTTAGACGAAGACGAGGCGCAGCATGTTCCCCCATCGATTCGAGCGTACTGACATGAACTCTTTTTGAACTCGCAGCGGTCCCGTCCTTATCAATTAAAAGTTCTGCGTTTGTCGACGCAATTGAGATCGACGGGTGGTCACTTTATCACTTCATTGCGAACGCGTCCAGATTTCGTCTGTGTCCTCGCATGTCCTCTAATTTTGCGCAACGCATTTAACTGGTAATTAATTCCGACCGGAGACGACGGAGCCGCGTATAATCCGATTTACATATTCGAGTGACGAAATATAGTAAACGATGTCGAACTTATATTTGTCGTTACCTAAATACGATACATTGAATGTTTCTAAAAATTATGGTCATTAAGATTGATGATACATTTTTATTTTTGGACGTACACAAAATGTACATTAGTATTAATTATATTGTAATAACTGGAAAGATCACGAAGAAAATTTACAGAGATTTGTTTGAAAAATATTTGAAGTTAATGATTTATATGATTAATCGTCTTGAAAGCTTCGTGATAAACGAACAATACATTTTGAATTCGATATATTTAGAACGCCATGTTCTAATAAGTTAAAAGCTACAAGATTCCTTCACTTTCACGTCACTGCGTAGTCTATATGCGACACAGATATCTCTAGATAGCCTCCTTTTACCTAATTAAAATAATTTCCAATGGAAGTGACGTAATGAGAATACTAAGTCAAACTAAATTCCAGAGAAATTCTTAAATGTAATAAAAATATTTAATTTTACTGCACATATTAAATTTGACATTACATACTAAATTAAATAATAAATAATTTCCATTTTATTCTTCCAAATTTATTTCAGTATAAGGCAATTTTACAATTTCATTGCCATATTCTACTACCAAATTAAATTAATTACGTATACTAATCCATGAATAATTGTTTTCTTCAACAAATTAAATATTTATTTCAGATTGTAAGTTAAGCACTCATAATAATTGACTGATATGTAAAAAATGTCGTGTAATAACTTCAGTAACGTTCCTTATTCTATGATTTCAATTTAAATTGCTAATTAAAAATGAACTCAGTTGAAATGAAAGTTTATTTTACATAAGCACGACTAATGCTATCAAATAGAAATTATTGCGATTTTATTGATACTTGCAGATCACCCTGTATATAAGAGTAAACCTGTTTCACAGAATACTCCTACGCCTACCAATACTCGCATTATCGTCGTATAAGTAGGATCTGGTTGAGCAGCGCACTATTGGATTCCCCACCATATGGTCGCGACAAGGTTTTACTCATATGTAAAAGAGACGAGCCTACAGAGAGTCAACCAATAGGTAAACACGATACGCGTCGTGCCGTCAACCCCACAACAGTCATGAATCTGTTTCATTTCTCCTTTTCCCGCTCCCCGTGTTGCGAGAAATAAAGCTCAGTTAAGCGCGATCACCGTTACGAACTGTGTGCTAACAGCCTCGTAAAACACGCAATTTTTTGCGTCGCTGAAGGTTGTATGATTTAAAACGTAAGCATGCAATTGTATCGTCCGAGGTTTGTGTCCTGGAACGATGTAATCTATACGCTCGAGAAACTACTCGAGCAGAACTATTGCTTTATCAAATAATCGACGACAAAATTTCTACTCAAAGAAGATTTTCAAACCTGTGGAATTAGAATTAGAGCTACGTTTTTCATGTACACGAAAATTCGACCGGAACGCATAAATGTGCAGACAATTACAAGTTCGTCCAGGCTTCAAACATTTACATTTTTCACTCCGATTCGTCGATTAAAATTTAGGTAAACGTATACAATATATTACACGACCCGTGGAAGGTACCTTTCCTTTTATAAGTCACGCAATAAAACCACCACGAAATTCACAATACCGTTAGCACCCCATCTATGACTGAAGAGAAATGAGAACCCCTTGAAGATTTATTTCTTTCGCGGTATCGTTCAATTTTCCCGCCCGTGATTATCCATTATGCGACACGTGAACTCCGATGTTCCGAAAGTTAAAAAGACTGTGTTTTACCATCAATTACCGGCATGATTACCGTTTCTATTCGTGTGAAACGAACGGTATGGATAACTACGAATAAAAATGAAACGAAAAACCAACGGGCACCTCATAGGTGAGGTTATCTAGCAACGATACGATTGGCAACACTGGTATTCGTCTGAAAGCTTCCGCCAGTAGTCGGTACTCAACCGACTTGAACGCTTCACGTCGCCGTGCAAGAAGTGCGGGAGTGAAGTTGCGAAAAATTGGGGTTAGTCGTACGGTGCAGCAGAATCGCGCATTCGGCAAAGTGGTGCGCGAATCACCATAAAAAAACGAAAAGTCCCCATCAGAGACGTGACGCCGTGCGAAGATGAGCTGTTTATTGAAGCTGTCGCCTTTACTCGCGAGAAATACTCGTGTGACATCGTTGGTAAGGTGTTTTTCATTAAGTTATATAATTTTTATCCTGGCAACGGTGCATCTTCTCTGTGCAACATTCGGCGTCGATCAATTACGTAAGTTTACTAAACACATGCACCGAAGAGGACCTCCCCGCGCATCGATTTTGCCGGAACATTTTACCTCGTGACCGAGCATTCCACCTTCCGCGGACTCTTAAAAATAGACATAAATAAAATACTAATGGAAATCTGGAATTCGAGGATCACGATTACTCGGTGGCTCTCAAGGGAGATTACGGAATGTTTAGCAGACGATTCTGATGTCGATCCTCCTTTTTTTTTACCGTGCTTCCCCTTATTTCGTACGCGCTACCCCGCATGGTAGCCGGCTTACACAACAGTTGAAGTTTACCATCGTAAAAGTAGTAACGTTGATTTCTAATATTCGCTATCTTTATCTGGTAATCATTTATTTTATTACTGGCTCGATATCAAAACCGAGCATGTTAATACCAAAACTGTCCATCGTATTGCGCTTTACATTAATTATAATTGTAGATGGGTCACCGGCACGGAAGCTGGCGTTAGCGGGAAATTGCTCACTTTAAATTACACAATTTAAAGATTTGTTAGGAATCTACTAGTTCTATTGCATTTTGTTTTTATTAACATTACATTAGATTTGGCTTATTCGTTAAGGGCTATCGTGAAGAAAGAAAGCGTATTTTGAATAATCGGTAAACCGCGATGACGTTAATGTATTTTCTACGTTTAATGTTACCTTGTGAAACATGTTATGTATAGAATGTAATTCGTGTTATATCTCACTATTTTTTTATTAATAAATTATGTAAAAATGAAAGATGGATTTTGAAACGAAATATACTTTAATATAAACGTGTTTCATCGACCACACGTATTATTTCCTTTTATTTCCATATGGCGTACTACATACGTTAAGTGATATTTTCGTTGTGAAGTCTTTTATATGATATTAATTTTAAAACACGTAATTGCATTTCGACCTGTTATCAATTTTCAAATGTTCTAATAAGATATCAAACGGATATTCGATTAACGTTGCTTTACGTTTGTTTTTAATTCCGTTGATGTAGAACGAACTGCTAATAACCTTTCTGTCGACGAATGTTTTTATAGATTGATTGCATGTTTGATCTACGTATATTCATTATTAATAACAATTCCTCATATTTGAATTATTACTAATACTTTTACATTATAATTATTAAACATTATATATTGTGTAAAACTTAATTGAGTATAGAATACAATTGCAATTTTGTTAAAGGCACATTCTTAAAAATGTTATAAATAAATATTTATTTTAATTGTAATTATATATAACCAATGTATATTAATTAAAACTCACAAAATTAAAATATTATTAAAATGAGAAACATTTTCATTTTTCGTCTATAAACTATTTATTAACATAACTTTAATCATCTGATGATACAAACATAGTGTGTATATTACTTTTTTCAACTTGGTTTCTAAACCTGATTTGTGTTTTGTTAATAGATGAATAGTGCAGTGGAGTAACAATACTATATGTGTTATCATGTATCTATTGATACTATAAAAATATATCTGATTTTATTTTTAGCTGTCATGTATAATTCTTTATATATCTATAATTACTTTGAAACTGTTAAAATTGAATACCAAGATAAACAAAACATCGTTTTCGCGTAATTATTATTTATATGTGTTTACAATATATACACATTTTTTAGTACACAACAATTATTTCACTTTAGTTTTTAAATAGAGTAGAATATTTTTAAATATATAAATTTATAATATACATTCGTACAATTAAAAAAAAAGCACATTATCATTCAAATGAATAATATTTTTATAGTGAGAAATACCAATGAATCTAAGACAAATACTATATTTCATTTTAATAGGAAGTGAGTTATACAAAAACCATTAATTAATAAATTTTTATTTCTTATAAGAGTGTCAAAATAATTGTAAAGCATGTGCGTATACTAAACTTCTTTTTTAATTTTTTAAATATTTCAGAATAATGTGGGGCTACCAGTTATTACAAGCCATAAATTCCATTCTTCACGTAATAACAAAGCTGTGAAAGTATCCGATGCTATTTCTAAGCAATATCCCTTGGTAGACCATACTTACGATGCTGTTGTTGTGGGTGCTGGTGGAGCAGGATTGCGTGCTGCCTATGGTTTGGTTGCAGAAGGTTTCAAAACAGCTGTTGTTACCAAATTATTTCCGACAAGGTCGCATACAGTTGCCGCTCAAGGTGGAATCAATGCCGCTTTGGGTAATATGGAAGAAGATAACTGGCAGTGGCACATGTATGATACTGTTAAGGGATCTGACTGGTTAGGTGATCAGGATGCTATTCATTACATGACCCGTGAAGCCCCAAAGGCAGTTATTGAATTGGAGAACTGTGGCATGCCTTTCAGTCGAACTAGTGATGGTAATACTAAATTATAGCTGTATTGTGTGTTTTGTATAAAGAGTAATACAAATTCTTCTTTATTAATATTCTGAAATGTACATGCAAATTTAATCTAGCCATAAATATTCTGAGATTTCAAGATTTTTATAACTTCTAAATGTCTTCTTTAATGAATTACATAAACAGAAGCATTACCAAAATACAAATTAATCACAAATAGAAATAAACAAATATAACCTATCATTGGCTCTTCATGAACTCGGACCTGTCAAATCTTCACTTGTTAATGAAACAGCTGATGTAGCTGAAATAACTGTATCACTGTCTGATTCAGTGCTATATTGTTTTTTCCTTCTTTGCTTTTTTTCCTAAAATTTGGATATATTTATATATAGTTTATCAATAATTACACTTCTTAAAAATCAAAGATATTTGTAATTGTTTTGGATAAGGAAAAAATGAACCTTGTTATTTCTCTGTGATTTCTTTGTATTTTTTACTTGTCTTCCTTCTTTATCTTTTTTTGGTTCAGCAGTT